ATATCAGAGATCTGCAGCACGATGGTTTTGTTTGCACTCAATGGAGGGGTTCCTTTGTCAGTTGCTGTGATTGTAATATTATATTTAGAAATTCTTTCTCTATCCAGAGGTCTATCTATTAGGAGCTTGTAGTAATTATTAGAAAAAGGCAGGATCTTGAAAGGAATATCATTTTCTAAATGACATGTAACTTTTCCATTATCATCAGCATCTTTGTCATTTACACTGATTAAAGCAATTAATGTTTCAGGTGGAGTATCTTCAGAGAATGAACTAAATAAGGAGACCAGGTTTATCTCTGGTGCATTATCATTCTCATCACATATTTTTATTTCAATATTGCTGTTTGCTTCTAAGCCACCACCATCTTTTGCTACTACTGTCATTGTATATTCTGCAGTTTCCTCAAAGTCCAAGGGGGCCATAAGTGTGATTTTTCCACTGACTGGATTCAAATGAAATATGGGATGGTTATTTCCAGGCATATTGCCAAAATGATATCTGATTTGGGCATTTGTACCATCATCTTTATCAGAAGCAATAACCTGGAGCACAGGGGACCCTATTGGAAGACTCTCCTCCAATCTGACCTTATAGAGTTCTTGAGTGAAAATGGGTGAGTTGTCATTGGCATCAGTGACATTAATCCATATATGGGCAGTCCCGGTTTTTCTTGGTTCACCCCCATCAATGGCTGTAAGAATCAAATGTATATATGGTTCACTTTCACGATCTAATGGATTATTAATCACTAGTTCTGTGTATTTACTTCCATCTTTTCTCTCTCCAGTCTCCAAATTACAACAAAGATGGGAGCTAAGCTCATAGTTTTGGAGGGAATTCTTTCCAATGTCAGGATCTTCAGCTTTTGCAAGGAGAAATCGAGTTCCAGGAAAAGTGGTTTCACTTATTTCTAAGTTGAAGTTGTTTTCCAAGAAATATGGTGCATTATCATTAATGTCCTCAACTGATACAGTTACATGAAAAACTTTCAAAGGATTTTCAACCACAACTTCAAAACTAAGAAGACAGAGTGGAGCCTTCCCACATATTACTTCTCGATCTATCTTTTCATTTACATAGAGGTTTCCATTCTCTTCATTGATGCTGAAGTAGTGCATTTTAGCAATAGAGACTAGATGTACATTTTGTTTTTCCAGTTCCCTTATATTCAATTCTACGTCCTTTGCAAGATTCCCCACAACAAAGCCTTTTGCCATCTCTTCTGGTACTGAATAATCGATGTGCTTTGAGACAGCCCAGTGGAAGAAAAAGAATAGTGAGATAAGTACTTGCCTTGTGAATGCTTTGCCATTCTTTCTGTCATTTGTGTCCATCTGTCTTCTTCAATAATAAGCTATCACCCCTTCCTCTTCTTCTTTTAAACTTATTGTCATTAGGTGAAATGGTCAGGAGAATAGATGAAATCTGAACAAGGAAAATTGCCCTTTTTCTTGTACCACCTGAACCCGTTTTCTGTCAGTCTGCAAATCAGCTCTGACTCTGTATTTCTCTATTTTCCTAGACATCATTGATAGAACTACATATTGAGCATGAACTCTTTTTAGGAGTCTGTGCTGGCCAACAGCGGCACTTTGAGGTTTAAACAGAGCATTGCAAGAACATTTATCTTCAATTTAAAGCTAAGGATTTGTTGTATTGTGGTATGACTAAATGCTTCTATATCCACAGCATGTGTTTTTCTTTTTTCTGTAGCTTTCTTTCATGCTTTACTCAGCTCGGCTTTTTAAAAAATATACATGTGCACAATAGATTTTGCAATTTTGCAATTTGTATTTGTAGATGATATTTATACGAACTATCATAATTTCTCAATAACAATTTATCATTTGGTCTGTGGTCAGCATGACTTCTGATTGATGGATTTTAAAATAAAGATACTAAATTCAGTAAATGAGGAGAAATAGCGTATCCTATTTTCCATAATAGGATATACAGTATATGTCTTCAAAAAACCTCGCAAGCAGACTATGAATATGGATATTATAAATAGTTAAGATTTTTGTGGCAATAATATTTTTTGTGTATCTTGACACTATTGACAGTAATTTCTACTGAGCACTAATTAATCAATTAAAACAAAAATATATTGCTTTCCCTTTTCCAAATCATGTCCAGAGTTTTATCATATTCAGGTTAAGTCATATTTTTAGATACAGTAACTATTTCTTTAGCTTTTCTTCCAGACTCCAGACTCCTGTTTTAATGCCATTTCCTACACAATTCCCAACTCTTATCTTTTTTCATATGGATAGATCAGAATTGCAGACTATTCCAAGTGAAGTGACTCTTATAGACCATAGCAGCATTGTGATACTAGCAGTTTTATTTTCAGTCCCTCTTCTATTACGTACTCTGGGAATTCATGGTTCACGTCAGTTTATTTATGAGTTGGTGATAGATTAGATTAGATTAACAGAATTGGATGGGACCTTGTAGATCATCTAGTCCAATCCCCCATCCAAGCAGGAGACCCTACACCATTTCTGACAAATGGCAGTCCAGTCTCTTTTTGAAGCCTCCAGTGATGAAGCTTCCACAACTTCCAAAGGCAAGCTGTTTCATTGGTTGATTTTTCTCACTGTCAGAAAAAATCTCCTTATTTCTAGGTTGAATTTCTCCTTTATAAGTTTCCATCCATTATTCCTAGTCTGGCCTTCAGGTGCCTTGGAAAATAGGTTGACCCCTTTCTCTGTGTGCCAGCCCCTCAAATATTGTGAGACTGCTATTATGTCTCCCCTGGCTCGTCTCTTCACTAGACTAGTTCACTAACTGGATGCAGTATTCTAGGTGGGATCTTACTAAGGCTTTATAAAGTGGCATTAGTACCTTGCTTGATCTTGATTGTATCCCTCTGTTAATGCAATTTACGATTGTGCTGGCTTTTTTGGCTGCCGCTGCACACTGCTGGCTCATATTTAACTGGTTGTCTACTAAGACTCCAGATCACCCTGCCTCAATAATATTTAAATAATGCTATATTTAATTTTATTTATAGCAAGAACTTTCAAATATTTTCCTACTGTGTTTCCTATTTCAGAAATAGGGAGACCATGAGTTTTAGCCTCACCTTAAGCACAAACCTAGCTAGGTAGCCTAGGGACAGTCACTTTCTCTTAGCTGTAGGAAGGAGACAATGGCAATTCACTTCTGAAAAATCTTGCCAAGAAAACTGCAGGGACTTGTTTAGGCAGCCTCCAAGAATTGGATAAAAATGGATGGAAGAAAAAAAAATCACACACAGGGACATTCTTCTACTTAAATTTACTTAAGACCTCTTGAAGAACTTTAGGCAATGTTTCTAAAAGTCCAAGTTACCAAGTTATATTCATTTTACCAGAACATATTACTTTTGAAACAAAGATGTTAACCCATTGCTAACAAAATTCTTTGTGTCATTTTAAAAAGACATGCAAAGTGGAGAACAAGGAAATTCGCTATTTACTGAGGTAATAGGGAGGTAGAAAAGAACTGTATTATTGCTGAAGTTAACTTGAGGGTAAATCTGGAAGTAAAATCTAAAAATACATAACAAGGAGGAATGTTAAGAATAGAAATCATACCCACCTCACCTTCAAACTAAATTTTGAAGTTTTAGAGTGGTTATAAGAAAAAGCAGGAATTACATACTCCCATTTCATAGGTTTCTGTGGCTTTTGTCTATAACGTTCACCCTCAGGCATAACTTTTAAAGAAATTAAGCATTCCAAGATTAGTTATCAGAATCACAGTAGTTTTTCACAGAAAATTTGAAGAAAAATGGTTGCACAGATCTTGTCAGAGATCTATGAAGTTACAGTGCAACTGCAGAGGAGGGGAATGTTCCTTATTCAGGAATGTCCATTGAATGTCCAGTGACATAAGGTGGGGATTTATTTGGGAAATGACATAATAGAAATGATGCAAATAGATACAAATGAGATCATTACACAACTCATGCAAGTCACAAAAGAAACTGGGTCTGTTGTATGCAAATATTATTGCACTGAGGTCTGTAAATTGGGATTTTAAAACTTCAAAACTGCAAAGCAAGGCAAGGCAAGGCAAGGCAAGGCAAGGCAAGGCAAGGCAAGGCAAGGCAAGGCAAGGCAAGGC